TGACTAAGGGCATGTCACTGGGGGACACTGACCTAGTCTGGCTGATCAATTGAGGAAGTTTCCCTAACAGTTAAGGAGAGGTCTTCACATGTAGGCATAGGTTAGACATGAAAAGAAAAACAGGCTCAGGGGAAGGAAGGATGCACATGAGAGCTCAGGGGACTTCTAGGGCAGGGAAACTACTCTGCATGACACCATAATCATAGATACGTGGTGGTCATACATTTGCTAAAATCCATAGAATGTATAACACCAAGATCAAACCCTACTGTACACTATCAATGTTGGTTGACAATGTGTCAACACTGTTCATTGATTGGAACAAATGTCCCACACTGATGAGGGATTTTGACTGTACAGGAGGCTGGAGGTGTGGGGAAGGTTGGGGACTGATCTAAAAAATAAATTTTTTTAGTAAGAAAAGAAAAAGACAGAAAAGTAGAAATACAAGGGAGGAGTACTTCAAGCAGAGGAAATGAGGAAATGGAATGTGCAAAGGGCCTGGCAGTAGTCAGAATAACTGACTCAAGGTCACTGTAGCTAGAACATAGAGGCCATGGGTGGAGGCTAGGGAGAGAGACTTGCTTCAGAAGCCAGGATAAATCCCTGCTCCCTTTGCCAAATGCACATTCCAAGCCAAGAAGAAGCCCCTGACTTGAAATGAAACACTGATATTCTAGCCAGGTATGGAAATACAGCCTCAGTCATCTGAGAGGCTTTCTCACCTTTCCCCAGGCTGATTCTTCCCTGTCGCGGTCAGTGAGGGGAGCTGCCTGTATGTGCAGATGCCTTCTAGGGCAGAGGTGGAGGCAGGCACACAGCCGGTTTCCACTTAAGGATAACAGGAGACGCAAACTCACAAATGCCCTGTTAAGTTCCTATCCCCTACATGAAAACAGGCAGCTGCTGGAAGGATAGTGAAGCAGACAGCACACGACAGGTTCATAGACTTGAAATGTCACCTTGGGGACAAAACCTGTGGAGTGATTCAAAACTGCGTGTTAAAACCACAACCATCTGCAACACAGAAAGCCAAGAAGAACCATCACCACTAGACCGTGGATGCTGCAGTATAGAGGCTCTGCATATGTGACCTGCACACATTCCCCCAGAGAATCCAGTACTTAATGGTGTTTCCTAATTACAGCAGAGCAAGGGCTAGCAGAAGGGCACCAGATGGAGTCCCAAAAACCTGGGGTGCCATTTACTTACAGAAGCAGCTCCCACATACTGAGGCAGAGAGCGAGACAGCCAAAACACAGAGTACCTGGGGGAGTCCCTCAGATCATGCCAAAACTCTAGTTGTGGATATGGGATGAGTTGCTTTCCTCAAGAAAAGGCAGGCAATTTCCTACAGCTCTCAACTCATGCTTGGGAAAATGACACCAGCTTAAGGCTTTAAAAAAAAAAATCAGGCAACAAGTTAAAAGAAAACCAAATCAACACAGTGGGAAATGGGGGAAGTCACAGAAAGGAAACCCTTCACAGCCATGACTGACTGTAGTACAGTCTATATGCTGGGGAAGTAGAAGCTCAGGCAAATAGGGAAATGTACTGGGTTGCACTAGATCTTCTGTTCAAACTGATGGTGGAGAAAGCAACCCATAGAATCCGATGTGCCAGGATGTCCCCAGTCAAGCTCAAATGTGCAAGCAACTTCTTTAACCTGAAAGCCATCACAACAGCTAAGTGGTGACTGGCAATCTGGAACCCACTGCTCTTTGGCGACTGCTCCCCTTCTGTCCTCTGGAGCCAAGAATGTTTCCTATTTGAGGAGAATAGGAAAGCAGCAGCAGTTCCAGTCTGAACCACCTATCACACTTTCACCTGTGAATTTTAGAATAACTTAGAGTCAACTTCTAGAAAGTCTTAGGGAAGCAATAAAACTGGTAATGGGAGAAACCATTATTCTGACCAAGAAAAAGGATAAACAGTTTCAATCACAGGCTTCCAGGTAAAGATAAGAAATTAGAGGCAGTGACATTCTCCAGTTCCAACCCAGATGGGACCAGGGCATTGGGAAAAACGTCATCATGGAGGAGAGAGCCATCCCTTAGCTGTGAATGATGTCAAACGCCTCTCACAGCAATGTCAGCCGCTGAGGGAAAATAAAGCAATTCAAAACTACCACTCATGAAGCAGGGTCCATATCCTAAATACAATTTGAAATAGAAACAGGTAGTTTCCTTCTTGCAAAGAACAGCTCTCCAGGAAATACTGAACAGGCTATAGAGATGGGAGTTAAAAGATAATCATGTAAACATTCCACAATCGTAAGTCCACAAGTTGATTACAAAATAGTCCAACCTAGGGAAACCATAGTGAGAATGAAAGCAAAGTGGTGCTATAAAATCAGCTTGCTATTAGCTCCATCTCCAAGAGCATGGTGGTGGATGGGGAGGGGAACGACAGGCAGGACACCTGGGAAGGAAGGGGCAGGCAACTCCAGTCTTATGAGGTGCCCAGTCAATGCCAGATTCCAGGTCTATTACACCAGTTTGCAGGATTGTGTGGAAGGACTTTTAATCTGGGCAAAAACAGGAAGAGGCAGAAAACTCAATAAACAAAGTAAGGTATTAGAGCACATGAATGAGAACCAAAATTTGCTTCAAATCATGGGGAAATAGGTAGCTATGAGCACAAATGAAATAAGATTGGCCATGAATAGTAACCATTAAGGATTATCAATGGATACATGGGGGTTTAACTTCATTATTCTTTCCACTCTTGTATGTTTGAAATGCTTCAGTGTTTTTTTTAAATCACACATATTCATTGTAGAAATTTAGGTAGATATAAAATAGAAAACCATCAAGAAAAAAATAAATGAAAACATGTATAATTCTATCACCTAAAAAATTATCACTTCAGTCTATTTCCAATATTTTTTTTTCTTTCTTTCAGTTTGCCAAAGAGGATCATCCTGTCCTCACTGTTTTATAAGATGTTTTCCATTCTACTGTCTTAATTTGTCTCAGGTATTATTTAAGTCATTAAATATTTTTTTAGCAGCATGGTTATTGCATAGTTTTTCACCAAAAGGTAGTCCATGATCTATTCCCAGTTTTTTGCTATGATAAATAAGGATGCAGTGAACCACGAAGGATGACATCTTTTATAAACAAGTGATTTCAAGTGAGAAAGAAATGGCTTGATAAATACCTAAATACAAAATGACATCACACAGGAAAAGAAAAGGCAGAGAAGGAAGCTGGTGGCTAGCAGACTGCATAATTCTAAGCAACCTTTCCATGTGTTGTTCATGGCAAAGGCCATGTTGCAAACTTCAACACGTATGAGGCTGAAACATGCTTATAAAGTGCCTCTCAGTCAGCAATCATTCACCAGGTTTAGGCAGTGAGTTCAGGACATCTGCTAGAATCTTCTGAAATAGCAAACGTCCATCCAGGATGGCACAGGATTCTACAGGCACAAAAGTGGACCCAATGGCTTCTCAAAGACCACTGTGGTCCAAGCACTCAATCATGCTGTCCTAATTAGTAATAGGTTTAATTTAGTGGGACATTGCTTAGGCCTGTAATTGGGTTCTTCCCCTATTCACCAACCCTTAAAGATGATTTCCTTCCCCAAAAGAAGAAAATCCACAAAATTCTCAAGGTGGGGAAATTAGAGATCTATGTTTTCTCTGCTCTATTTGTTCCCTCCCAAGATGTAGAATTTGGCTGGATGTGTCTGTGAAGACAACAGCCTCCTACAGTCAACATCTGAATGCCAATAAGAAGAAAGTCAAATTTTTCTTTCTGAATCAAATCCATAAAATATTTTATTTATGACACATTCTAGCTGTGTTCCATCTGGCTTTCAGGGACCTCTGAATCAAACCATGTGTTTCTGGCCATCAGCCACCATGAATGGGAAGCCACTGTCACCTCCTATTCCAGGAGAGGCCCTCGGGACTCAGTGATGGCAGAGCCACAGAGGGACCATGAAGAGGACTGTAAAACATACACTGCTTTCTTTGCCTTTCCCCCCTTTTCCATCTCTGTCTACAGTTCTGGTTCTCTTATTTCAGAAAGGACAACTGTGGCTCTCTTCTCACCATGTCAAGTATTGAGGGGAGAGGAAAAGTGTGTGTGACACCCTAAACACAAGCTGAGCTCAGAAACTATAGGAGTGAGCAATTCAGTGATGATCACTGAGTAAATGAAGAGCAGCCACCATCTGCAACCTCTAAACTAGGATCTAACCTCTTCCCCTGTCCTCCTCAGAAAAAAGAGTTGCTAACACACACCTCTCCATGATGAACCTGCCTGGATTTCAAGACAGCATTGTAAGTTATGCATACTGTATGATGAGTTTATGGAAAAATGCTAAGCATATGCACAAAGATTAGCAAGAAGAACCAAAAAATTCAAAGTATGCATCAATGAGATGAATTCAAGAATTATTTTTATTTTTATCCTTTGTTGTCATTGGGTTGTTTTGACTACAGAAAATTATTTTAAGGATAAGTTATTAACCAATATTCTATTCATATATTTCTCTGAGATTAGAACCTCTCAAAGTATGAGTTCATTTCTGACCTAAGTCTGTGTCCTCCCTCTGGATTCATATATCACAGAGAAGCAGGAGAAAAAAGTATATATAGAAATGCAACCGAAGATGTCACACAAATCTATTTTTCAGCTGGATTTCCAAATAGGGCAATCTTTAAGGTTTAACAAAATTGAACCAGAAAGCTCAACAAGCTTCTATGTAAATGGCTTGACTTTAACTTTTTTCCCCTGAAAAGAAGCAAAAAAAGCTAAATTATAAACACAGATACTGTCTTCTGGCAAAAACAGTATCCCACTGCACACAGTCACACCCTGACTCAGAGCGACACATCAGCTCAATCCACCCCTGAGCTCCAGCTGACTTGATTGCTGGAGATATCCCTGAGGTGCCACTGAGCTCACCCTCTGATGCAAGAGTGGATAGAAGCCACATGCTAGGGAGGTCAAAGCCTGCCACCTCCTGTAGGAAGTGACAACACTCACACTGAGGCTGTCTACCTTGACCTCCCATGAAGGCCTAGGCCCAGAAAGGAAAGTTACCTTGCACACAGCCGCCTGAAGAACCGCATCAAAGCCCCCCTCAGGGGCATCACGGTTCCGGGATACCCTCTGCTTACGAACTTCCTCATTGAAGCTGTCGACTCTGTCTGTGAGAGGCAGCAGATGGCGGAATCCGAAGGAGGGGACACAGTTTGGAAATAATTTATAACTAGAGAGAAAGAAGAGAAGAGTCATTTCCCATCATTATCTCTAAATCTTAACCAAGTGTTTTGCACATTCACTGAGTTCCTTGGGAAACACCAATAAATGTTTACCCAGCATTACTACCTGCCCTGGGACAGGCACAGCAGAGATACAAAGATAAACAGCAGTTGCTACCCTTCAAATGTCCAGCCCTAACTGCAAGACTACAGCATATACCAGGGAAATGAATGGTGTGGACAAACAGGTGGAAATGGTGGTGTGGACAAATGGGTGGAAATGAATGGTGTGGACGAATAGGCCAAAGGAAATGCTGATTACATAAGAGTCTTATGGTTGGAGGAAGACTTGATGTGGGCCTGGAAAAATATATGGAATCAGTGTGCAGGCAAAGTAGGCAATGCAAGCAGAGTTGTTCTTGCAAATCAGCCTCTCACATCAATTGTGCTGCTGCCATGTGACAAAGGATCCCATGGCTCTCCACCAACCCACTTGGTTACCACCAGGATGTGCAAGCACATTAACAGATGCTAAATGAAACAGGAATGAAAATTTTTTTTTTTTTTTGCTTCTTTGTTCATTTATAACTATCCATTCTCCTAGATGCTATAGAAATAATTTAGAAACTAAGCATCTTCAAATGGGAAACTGTACCTGGAAACTTGGAAAGAAGGAAATACTGCATGTCAACAGAAAGTAACTTTCAGGCCTTTCTTCTAAAATATTGGGCGATCTCCTCTTTAGTCTGCTGTAGAGACCCCAAGTGGCCCCAATCCTGGAGGAAGTTAGCTCCCAATGACAGTTCTAGGAGCTTCAGTTTGATACACAGCTAATGAAATAGGAAGAAAGGCCTTACATTATTTTACAAATAGGTTCATGTGGTAGGGGGAGAGGGAAGAATGTGGCAGCCAGAATGTGCAGAGTCCCATCACAGGAAGAAGATGGAGGAAGGCCCGTGGGCTGCAGGCAGAGAGTCAGGGCAGGTCTGGGCAGGCTCTCTTTCTCTGCAAAGAGGCATCTTTGGCTCTCTAATGGGCCAATCCATTCAGAGATATAGTCCCTACTCCATCCACCACACCACAGCCAAAGCCCTGGAAACAAGCCCTCTTCCCATGAGAGCTATGGTTCCCTCTGGATAGAGGGCAGCAACTTGACTTTTCTTTACCTCTCCTTTGTTTCTCTCCTTTCCTTTTCATCATATCTTCACAAACACCTGCTTATGCAGGTCAGGCTCCTTTTGAGTCTGTGCTTTTACCTCTCCTTTGTTTCTCTCCTTTCCTTTTCATCATATCTTCACAAACACCTGCTTATGCAGGTCAGGCTCCTTTTGAGTCTGTGCCTCAGGCCACCCAGACATTTCATCACCTCTTCATTGTGTCATAAAGAGAATGGTGGTGGAAATTACATTCCCACTGAGAGAGGGGACTGGGGTCCCACCCACAGCTATTTGACAAATGGACAGACCCAGAGGGAAGTAAACACATCCACACCAGGGCTCTACATCTGTCTTCCTCCAAGCTGCTACTCCCTTATGGGTTATTCTGGAGTATGATTTAGGACTTCAGGTGTGTGTTTACTGTCACAGTTGGTCAGGATGGCTGTGGAAAGGGAAGAAAGAGACTGAATAATTGAAGTTAAATGAGAAAACCAGAAAAGCTGTAACAAGCACAGCTACAACTCAGCATTTTTAATTTCTTCCCTTTCACTCCCACAGATGCCTGAATTACAGATAATTTATCATAACAAAATCAGGAATACTCCTTTCTTTGCCACACAGACCCTGGAAATGTCTCCATAGTCACTGGACTAGGATGTCACAGTTAATATGGTTTAATCCCCGGAATTGCTATGTGGCCTGGAAATCCTGCAAGGAAATTGTCCTGTCCCCACTGTGTCTATGTTATAGGACCCCAGCTTAGGGCTATTTATAGGAAGCTACTCAATTAAAGATTATTAACTAGGATGATAAAAAACAAAAAAAACCACATGACTGGTTAAAGAATTGTGGAAATATGTTTGCATAAGTACGAAAAGTGAATCCAGTTTGAAGATATTAGATCTAGTCAAATTCCAAAAACAATAATCAAGACAAGATGGTGGATAAACCAATGTGGAACAGCTCCCCTCTTACTCTAAATATAGGGAACTTTTAAATAAAATATAATTTTTAAAAATTTAAATATATGGTTAGGACTGGAAGTTTAGAAGGACAATCCTAGATGCCAGAAATAAAGAGGAAGCCATTCAACAAAATGAATGGACTGATGAGCACAGGTGAGAAGTGTGAGTAGCTCATGCCAAGGAGTCTCCGATGTGCCTGAAAAGGACAGAGGCCCTGAGGACATGCATGATTCCACCAGGAACAGATGATAAGCCCCTAGACGAGGCCAGGTCCTGCTACATAAATCTGAGCACTACAAAAAGATACCACACTAAACCAGAAACAGAAAATCTCCAGCCACTGGCCTGGGAAAGAGGTGAGGAAGCTTATCACCTCCAGACCATGAGACACAAGAATCACGCATAAAAATTGTCAGTCCAGGCCTGAGCAATCAGAATTCATGACCCTTATGACCTTCATCATGAAGGAAATTAACAAGGAAACCAGTTCCACAGTGAGCACTGAAGACCCCCCCAGTAGCAGCAAACTTTAAAACTGCTCTGTGGGAAGCCAGCATACCCAGAGCATGTGGTCTTCAGATGGAAAACAGCCTCTGATGAACATGAGCTAATGAAAATATTATAAATCCCATGAGAAACAAACCACCACACAGGAATGTCAGCAAATCCAACACATTGAAGCAGTCACAACTCAAGAAATAGAAAGAACAGAATAACCTGAAATTCTTTAAAACATTCAAAAAGAGGAAGGAACAGAAGCCAAAAGCCAGATAAAATATTATTAGGAAAAAAAAAACCTAGAAGTCCCCCCCAAAAAATATGAAAAACAGAAGGGTCTGAAAAAGAACCAAATAAAAAGTTGTAAAAATAAAAACAGACATGAAGACCAGTGGAACAGAATAGAAGATCCAGATATGAAGCCACACAACTATAAGCAACTTATCTTTGACAAAGGAGCTAAAAATATACGATGGAGAAATAGCAGCCTCTTCAACAAAAACTGCTGGGAAAACTGGTTAGCAGTCTGCAAAAAACTGAAACTAGATCCATGTATATCACCCTATACCACGATTAACTCAAAATGGATCAAGGATCTTAATATCAGACCCCAAACTCTTAAGTTGATACAAGAAAGAGTAGGAAATACTCTGGATTAGTAGGTATAGGTAAGAAACTTTCTCAATGAAACCCCAGCAGCACGAGCAACTAAGAGATAGCATAGATAAATGGGACCTCATAAAATAAAAAGCTTCTGTTCATCAAAAGAAATGGTCTCTAAACTGAAGAGAACACCCACAGAGTGGGAGAAAATATTTGCCAACTATACATCAGACAAAGGACTGATAACCAGAATATACAGGGAACTTAAAAAACTAAATTCTCCCAAAACTAATGAACCAATAAAGAAATGGGCATGTGAACTAAACAGAACTTTCTCAAAAGAAGAAATTCAAATGGCCAGAAAACACATGAAAAAATGCTCACCATCTCTAGCAATAAAGGAAATGCAAATTAAAAACCACACTAAGATTCCACCTCACCCCTGTTAGAATAGCCATCATCAGCAACACCACCAACAACAGGTGTTGGCGAGGATGCGGGGAAAAAGGAACCCTCTTACACTGTTGGTGGGAATGTAGACTAGTACAACCACTCTGGAAAAAAATTTGGAGGCTACTTAAAAAGCTGGACATCGATCTACCATTTGATCCAGCAATACCACTCTTGGGGATATACCCAAAAGACTGTTACTCCAGAGGCACCTGCACATCCATGTTTATTGCGGCACTATTCACAATAGCCAAGTTATGGAAACAGCCAAGATGCCCCACCACTGACGAATGGATTAAGAAAATGTGGTATCTATACACAATGGAATTTTATGCAGCCATGAAGAAGAACGAAATGTTATCATTCGCTGGTAAATGGATGGAATTGGAGAACATCATTCTGAGTGAGGTTAGCCTGGCTCAAAAAACCAAAAATCGTATGTTCTCCCTCATATGTGGACATTAGATCAAGGGCAAACACAACAAGGGGATTGGACTATGAGCACATGATAAAAGCGAGAGCACACAAGGGAGGGATGAGGATAGGTAAGACACCTAAAAAACTAGCTAGCATTTGTTGCCCTTAACGCAGAGAAACTAAAGCAGATACCTTAAAGCAACTGAGGCCAATAGGAAAAGGGGAACAGGTACTAGAGAAAAGAATTAACCTAGAAGGTAACACCCACGCACAGGAAATCAATGTGAGTCAATGCCCTGTATAGCTATCCTTATCTCAACCAGCAAAAACTCTTGTTCCTTCCTATTATTGCTTATACTCTCTCGACAACAAGATTAGAAATAAGGGCAAAATAGTTTCTGCTGGGTATTGGGGGGGGGAGCGGGAGGGGGCGGAGTGGGTGGTAAGGGAGGGGGTGGGGGCAGTGGGGAGAAATGAACCAATCCTTGTATGCACATATGAATAATAAAAGAAAAATGAAAAAAAAAAAAGTTGTAAAAATAAAAAATATAGTCACTGATGTTCAAAAATGAAATTTCAGTGAATGAGTTCAATGATAATTAAAGAATAAAATGGTAAGCTGAAAGAAACTTCCTATTATATGGCAAAGAGAGAGACAAAAAGATTAAAATTATGGGAGAAAAACTAAGAAATATGAAATTTAGAACAAGAAGTTCCAACTGTCACCTAATAGTATCCAGATGAAAATGGAGAGAATAGAAGAGAGGAAATAACCAGAGAGAGAAGGTCAGAATTTTCAAAAATAAAGACATATTCTCTAGATGACACAGTAGAACAAACTCTAAGCAATGCAGACAAAAGTAAATCCAACCTAGACACAGTGGAGTGCAACTTACATACTGTATTAAAAACTACCAAAGAGAAATGCAGTGAATAGACAAATGGCAAACTTTACCTCAGCCACCAAGATACCAGAAGACAGGAATAACACCTTCAAGATGGCAGAAGAGTACTGTAACTTTCTGGGAAAAATACTCAAAGAAAACATATTGGCTCATTTGCAAATATTTTTCAATGATTGTTATTTTGACAAGAGCCCCAATACCTCTATCAAAGAAAATCTGTTCAGATCTGGAAATAACAAATTCTGTCATGACTCTTCCCAGCAAAACTATTTCTGTTGCTCAGAGCATTTAAATAGTTGGTTTTTTTTTTTTTGAGGGGGGAGTTGGCAGTATTGGAGTTTGAACACAGGGCCTCACACTTGTTAGACAGGTGCTCTACTTCTTGAGCTACTCTACCAGCCCTGTTTTTTGTTGGATTTCTTCCAGATAGGGTCTCATAAACTATTTACCCGGATCTCTGCCATCTGAGTAGCTAGGATTACAGGCATGAGCCACCAGCACCTGGATAAACAGCTCTTTAATATGATGCTTGAGTTACTCTATCCTTTTTTTCTTCCCAAGGAGCCCTCATACTTTGGACTTCAGATTTGGCATTTCTGGTGAATTCTAAAATGGGATGGAGTAAGTCCAGGATTTTGATCTCTTGGCAGAAACATCTGGAGCAGAGGAAGGAGGTATACATTTCAGGAAAGCTCCAGGGTACCAGCTGGTCCTGCACAGGTGATTAGACCACTTCCCTTCAGTTTCCCAACTCCCTAAGACTTCCTGGGAGCTGCCAATGCTGCCCCTATTCCTCCACCTAACTGACAGGCCATTGGAGTTTGAGAAGTACTCTGGTCAGACACTTAGCCAAAGATCTACTAAAAAGTTACTAAGCAAGGATCTACTGAGCCCAGGCATGGGATGCAAACAAGCGAAACAGGACAGCTATGAAATGAGGGAAAGAGTGGTAGGGACTTTACCTGACCACCTAATTTTTTCAAGAAAACCTAGAAATTCTGGTTATTCTTGGTTAAACCTTGTTTTTTAAAGGTTGGTGACTATTTCATGGAGCCATTAAAGCAGAAAGGCAAACGAAGTAAATGCACACACTGGACCAGGCATAGGAACAGTCAGATTACACAGCATGTGCTGTTTTCCTCAAGGAGCAATGAGGACTTCCGGAGGAAACATGTTATGTGGCACAACCTGGACACACAGCCTAGACATGGGGATAGAAATCCCAGTCTTCTGAGTTACATAGTGACTCCCTTTGTATCTCCCAGCTTAGAGAAGAGAAATTTACATAAACTAGAACTGATGTTTCCTTCAAAACTCCCATTCTTCCCAGGATTTCCTATCTTACAAGCAGCTTTTCAGGATGCCTTGTACTCACTGTCAAAAATCTTACTGTCTTGCAACTGGGTCTGCCCTGAAGGACTTAGAGAGCAAACTCTGAATAAGCAATGTGGAGTAGCCTGAAATAGTCAAATGCTGAGCAGCACCCACAGCCAGTCCTTGATCCTCTGCCAGCTTCCAACCCAGCATCTGAGTTAGTGGAGACACACCCTGTCTATCTGGAAACAGGGCCCTATCAGGGCAGGGGTAGAAACAAGTGGATGGAATAGCTGTTCCAGATGAACTGAAAAAAGTTTTCATTAGGATGCCATTGCTCCTAATAAGAGCAAAACTCCAACAAGAGGACATTTGGCATGAAATCCAGCTGATAAGAGCCTTGGAGATAGGATCAATAAATAATTGTTTTCAGCAAATGATGATACCTAGTGCCTCTTCAAGGTTAAGAAATTAGAATCCATCTGTATTTAAACTTATATGTTTTTCCATCATTGTGTTGGTTTCCATTCCCTGGGAAAGATCTAGAACAGTAGACAACAGGGCCAGGAAGGATTCAGAAGAACACAGGTACATTATCTCGCCAGACCACCCAGACCAACTCAACCCAACTCAGAGCTGAGAGATGTTGAAGCTGCAGATGAGGTGTGGGGAGAAGCAGGCCTACAGGCTTAAAAACAGCTCCCTTCCCTTCAGTGGCAGTGGGAGACCAAGAATTGAAAGTAACATCACAAGATGGAAGGAGCCTGGATCCCTGAGTCACTGCTTAAAGTAGAACTGCCAAGGAAAGCAGTTCAGCCCTCCTCAGATTTTGCACAAGCAAGAAAGAAATTTCAATGCATTAAGCCACAGACATTTGGGGATTGCTTCTTACTGCAGCTCAGGTAAACCCTCAAGGGTGAGTGTAGGGGGTTGGAACATATGTTATTACTGAGCCTCAGGTAGAGTATCTTGGGAGGGGGGAAATAGGCATTGTATTAAAGAGAATGCAGACTCTAAAACTAGTCTGTCTGGAATCATTGCACGTCTACCCCTTATACTATTTGTATAATCATGGGTAGTTATTTACTCTCTCCAAACCTCAGTTTCTTCATCTTTCAAGTCTGACTCAGATCTACCTTAGAGACCTTAAGAGGTTATTATGAAATTTAAGTAAGATAATCCAAATAAAGCATTCATTTAGTCTGTATGGTGCCTGACAATAAGAACTTAAGCCTTGGTTGTTTATTTCTGTGACTATGTTGGAGCCTTATATCCCAAAGCCTCATTAAAGTTGAATGTGAAGATAAGGCAAGAAAAAGTTGGAAGTGGCCACTCCTATGTAGTTCCATTCCATAATTTTGTCATTTAAAGGAACAGTTGAAGACTAGAAAAGAAAGAAACCAACCTAATAGCGGTTATATTGGGGCACTGAAGGATGTGACCCCACACACATACACAACAGTCATATACCCAAATGTCCCATGGCAGAGACCTGTCTGCCATTCTGGCTTCCTCTTATTCTTAGGCATACAGCTGAACTAGTTTTCAGCCCTTTTGCTACAATTCAGTTCTACCTAGTAGAATAAAGTTGCAGAAGTGGAAAAGGCACTTCAGACCAGGCCCACATGGACCTGCTCTGCATGATCATCTGGGCAAGATGACCTTGAAGACAAGTGTGGAAGATAGTAAAGACTGGAAGATGGAAGGAGCCCGGATCCCCAAGTCACTGCTTGTAGAAGAGGTGTTAACCAATAGGAAATAAACTTCTAGCAAGTTTGGAACATTATACCTTTTTTTTTTTTTTTTTTGTGGCGGTACTGGAGTTTGAACTCAGGGCCTCACACTTGCTAGGATTAGGGTTACCAGTTGGTCACACCTCCAGCACCATTATTCACTTCTGAATTTATTTTGTTGCAGCAGTTAAAAACTGCTATTCTCTAATAATTTGTCAGAAGCTTCTAATTCAGGTTCTTGCCATAGGTTGAAAAATTTCGTACCTCTAAAACAGGATTTTCATTTACTTTTGTCAAGATAAGTTATTTATACAAACAATATGGACAAACTTTGAATTCATGTGTTTCTGAGGTTCTCAGTCACTACAAGCAAGGAGAAAGTATAAGTTGTCCTGCCAGGTCCCTTCCCTGATCACCTGGGTCCATGACTCCCTGAGGGTATTCTTTAAATTCTGTTAATGTTAGAAAACAGTGCTGTGTGAGGCAGGCAAGACCAACTGTGGACTATGATTATCTATCTCTATGCAACCTGTGACCATTCACTGCTTCACACGTAGGGAAAGCACAGAATTTGCCATTACTAATTAAATTAAATGCCTAAGCCTGGTGACTGTCCTAACTATCCTTCCTTTGGGCTACTTTCCCACTACTTCATCCCCTACCCATAAGTACCCAACAAAGAAACAACCAGCTACTTACCCAATGCATGGATTGGTCTGGTACCTTGGTGCTGTGTAGGAAAAAGGAGAGATGTCCTTATCAACAAAAGATCCAAAACCCAACCGGAAGTTGCTGGTGAGCTTCCTCATCTCCTCAGCGAGTTTGGTGCCCAGGTTCCGGATATTGTCCAAGTCATCCTTCATGGATAGGGAAAGATCCATCAGGTAGTACAAGTCCACAGGATAGTCCTCCACCTGGCGCACCTGCAGCTGGAAGGTAGTCTGGTCACCTGTGTCAACAGAAAGGTCATACATATAGAGACCACACGACTTACTGGGGACAAAAAGGGTGGATTTTCATTTCAAAGTTGATCTACCTCTTACCTTCTTTAGTGATGGTATGTCTCCCAGAAGAAAGATTTTCTTGGAAGTATAGTGCCAGAAGGGAATAGGGTGCTGAGGATGCAACCCTAGGTTCTCCAACCCAAACACTTGTCTTAGCATTTCTAAAGAAACTCTTTAACAACCAGGGTCCTTAGTAGTGTTCTGTTTTCTCAGCAAAAAAGACCCTTGGGTAATTGGTGATCAGTGAGTCAGACAATTCCATGGACACAATTTGGGTAGAGAATAACCTACCAACTGCTCTCTAGGAAAGATACATCCCAAATGGGATGGGTATGGGAAAAAGAAATCAGGGTATAGACATCAATAAGAGGTAGGTAGGGGAAAAAGAGGGATGTACAAGTCAAAGAATAGCAGGTAATGAAGACGGTTACTTAAAACACCCCAGAGGGTGAAAGTATTTAGGCCTGTGCCCTGTCACCAGTCTCTATTTCTATACCCAGCCATTTATCAGTCAACAATATTGAGTTCTTGGGCATATATGACATTTGGGGACATCACAGACACAACTCATTATCATCAGAAATTACATGTATAAAAACAGAAGGATGGATTCTAAACTTTAGCTTCATAAAAAAGAAATTAGAAGAGAAAAAGGATGACAAAAAGACAAAAGGGAGATTTGTCTGCCAACTACAAGAAAGAAAAATGACTTTTGGCTCTACAATAAGATAGCTAACAGACGAGGAAAGGGGAATCAATTCAGAGGAAGAGAACAAGGAAAAAAGCCAATGTCTGAGGGGGTATGACCTTTGCTACCTCACCCTCCAGGGTTTACAGAGAGATCCAAATCCAGGCAATAACAGGGGAACCCATTTCAGGACAATGATCCCTCACTCATTTCATAGTTTCTAAAAACAACTCACTTAGAAGTGACTTTAAGTTTCCACTCATAACAGGGACTCAATCTGCCTTGAGCTTATTAGCTTTTCTGGAGTGTCAGGAAATGTCCTATTATCCCAGGGCAAAACTGTCCAGCACATCTGAAATTTGGGCAAATTCTTTGTGTAGTTAGAGTACTGCAGCCAAGGTGGCATCACTGCTGCCAGAGGGGTCCACACCTAATTTGCCACAGCCAAACTTGCACCTTTACCTGGCAGCACTAAAGCTAAAGCCTCCTGCACCTGCAGGACAGAGAAATCAGTCCTCCATACTCCCTTTCCTTTTCTCTTCCCACCACAAACAAGGCCTATTCCATGAGCTAGACTAGGAAGAATCCAATGATCAAAAGATTTCAATTGAAGTTCCAGCTTTCTCTCACCTAGGGGTACTTCCTTAAATATGAAATGAACATGAACAATGCTCAAGCATTGATCAAGGCTGTGTTACACTCGTGTGGGAGACAAGTGTTTTATAGGGATAAAGGTCTGCACAAATGAAGTATGATTATTGTAATTACTATTTGTAATTAGCGTGGCAGCTCCAAGCCTGCTTACCCTGACTTGTTTTTGCATGTACTGTTCTAGCCGCCTCAAGATTGATGTAGTTGAGTTGCCTGTTGGTATGAGCCTATTTTTAAAAACCATCAGAGTCTGACTCAAACAAAAGAATGTTCAAGATATCTTCCAGAATGAATTCCGGACTGCTGAAGTATATTCTGTCTCTCATCAGGCAGACAGAGCAGGTCCCTCCATTAGGGATCCCTTGGATGCCTGTCACACTGGGAGACAGCTGGGGAGGAAGGAGAAACTGTGAGGGGTGGGGGAGACCTCCTTGGCCTTTCCATGGACCCTCTGTCCAATTCCATGGCCTCTTTACAGGGTTTCCTGCATTTTCTGATACCTGCCCATCTTCCCCCCAAGTTCTCAGCTATACCTTCTTTTATCTAGAATCTGCTTCTAATCTAACTCATAATTGTGCATTATGAATAATTAACAGATGGGCACTGTTGGGCCAGGAAATGGGGAATTGGCTTGGATTCAGCGGGGCTGAGAGGTACCCATGGGACAGAAGCACCACTGGGCTTTAGAACCAAGAGACCTAGGTTTAAATCCAGGTTTGGTCGCCAAGGACTTGGGGGCCTCAGGGTCCTTTAAACTTGCTGCTCAGTTTCTGTTTCAGTAAAGTAGGAAGGATTTTAGTCATAGGGGGTTAAAGAGATAATGTATATAAATACCAAGCAAATGCCTCAGTTCCCAAAAAAGTCAATTATTAAAGCAATTTCCTATGGTGATAAGGAGAAACTTGAGTTTGAATGGCCCTGGAAATATCAGTTTAACTTCAAATCTTCCAGACACAAAGGAAAAAGAGATAAGATGTGACATACAAGTCCCTCTGTTGAGAGAGTTATCTAAGTTCTAAGAGAAATTGATCACTAAGAAAAAACACTCACATACCCTTCCACAGAGAGGCTGCAAATGTTAAAAAGGAGTATTTCTCCCAGCTTTCTGGAAAGGAAGGGTGTGACAAAGCAGGTAATAACATTCATGTTCAGAATGAGGGTTTATTGCTACTGTAATATGCTTGATTTTAAATGCCACAAACTCCAAAATGGGTTTGGCAATGACCCATTGGAATGTCCTGTCAGCAGATCTTGCAGAGATGGAAATTCCTGCTCAGATTCTTGGTGTGGGCGTTAAACTGCCATCATACTGACTCCCCAGGAAGAAAGGCTTCCAGAGTTAGCAGAGGTACAATAGCTGGTGTTGAGTGTGCCCTGCCAGGGGAGGTCTGGGCACCTTCCCCATCTTTGGGTACACTGCTTAGAGACACACTCCTCCCTTCCTCCTCCTTCCCAGCCACCTGAGACTTTAAACCAGTAGCCCCTCCCTGTGCTCAGCAGGCTGTGAAGCCCTTCCCACCTTCACCAGCAGAGCTGGTCTGAACCTGCCTCAGGTGACACCATCCCAAGCCAGGCCACATGCCTGGATTTGTGGTCCCACTGCCTCCCTCTCCACATAGGATCCCCAGCAGAATTCTACCTCTTCTCTCTGCAGCTGTTCCACATAATCCCCACCTTAGGACCAGTGGGGATCAGAGAAACCCACTAAAGCAAACTCCTAAGAGAAGCTGTCACCTGCACCTGTGGGGATGAAGCCACTCCCCAAACAGCCTCTCTCATCCTGATTTTTCCTGATCCAAACCACCTGGTGCTAATAGTGTTTTGCCTGGAATTCCTGCCACTGCTTAGCTCATAAGTACAGGTCTCCCACTGTAATCAAGTATCAACTAGCAACCCATCTGAAAGGGTTTTTTGTGTGTGTGAGCATGGGGTTGGGGGGGTTAACACTTTCTTCTCTCTGCCCTTCCTTTAGTAGAGTGAAAAGTTAGCTTTTTCCTTAGGGACAAACATTGCTAGAGAGTGAGTAAATTCCAGTGAAGATGTTTAAGATTGATTTTTATTCCCATGTTAAGACAAAGAAGGATCTCAGCAAATAAACACTTGCCATCCACAGTGCCTGTCCCCCTCAACAGGCACTACCTTTCTAGTTTGCTTTAAAATGGCCCCTTCTACCTATCATCAAAAGCCCCGTTCACCTTTTTATGGGGACAGTCCTTAGGCAGTAACTAGCACTTCCAAAGTGAAAGTGGAAGGAGAGAGAAATGGAAACAAGGGCTGGCAGGAAATCCAAACCTAAAGTGACAGATCACAGGTAGCATGGCACCTACTATACCAATGTCAATTTCCTGGTTCTGACAACAGACTCTGTCATGTCAGATGTTATCATTGTGGACATCTGAGGAAATCCCTATTATTTTTGCAACTTCTTGTGAGTCTAAAACTACTTCAAAATAAAGTCTAAAATGTAAAAAAGTTGATAATCAAAGGTCATTTTTTTAAGAGGCTAAGGGATTAAAGTAAATAATGACTTGAAGAAGCCCTAAGTGCCCCAGTGTTTCAAAACCATCTCTAGCTTTTGACCAAACAATTTGCTTTAAAGTTTATGTCCTTTCTTAAGGATTTTGTCTTTCATTAAGGAATTTTTTTAAAGTTCTTATCCTGGCATATCATTTTCAGTATTGAAATAAAATGGAAAACATGACTCTGTGTTTATACAAAATCCTGCTTAAAGTTTGGCAGTTTTTCAAAATGTTAAACAGAATTACCATATATTCTACTCCTAGCTATATACCCAAGATTCCTGAAAACCCATGTCCCCATAAAAACTTGTACATGTATGAAGATGATGTATTTAAACCTATTATTTTGTATAAGTAGTACACACTAAGAAAAAGAAAGAAAATCTTATAAATGACTTTTCATAATTGCCCTAAAGTGGAGATGGTCTAAATGTCCATCAACTACAATATGGCATAACTACATATCTGTGGAATATTATTTGGCCATTAAAAGTGATAAAGTAAATTTTACAACACAATGAAAAAATTGCCACGTTATATGAAATGGTCAGCATAGGAAAGAGCACAGAGATAGGAAGTGGATTAGTGATTGCCAGGGGTTGAATGGGGACTGGGGAGGGTAGGATAACGGGTAACTATTAGTGAGCAATGAGTTTCTCTGGGGAATAAGAAAAACATTCTGGAATTTGATAGTAGTTATGGTTTACAACCTTGCAAATGTACTCAGAATGATTGCACTGTATGATTTAAAATAATAAATTTTATGATATGTGAATTATATCTCAACTTTTAAAAAGAAGAAAAACATCCTGCTTTAAAGAATATAGAACGGATTGATCCCTCTTCCCCTCCCTCTGTCTCTCTCCCCTCCCTTCCTTGCCTTCCCGCCCCCCCCACTTATCGTAGAATAATAATTTGGCCTTCATGAAGTGTTTTCATGTTATGCTGAGGCTTGTCCCTGATTAGCCTTGTATAAGGCTGGCAAAGTATTTTAACTTATTCAACAAATACCAATTATGAGGTATAGGGGGAGGGGCAAGGGAGAAAACATAAAAGAATTTCTAAAAGTATATAATGGGAAAATCAATCCCTATATACCTGAAAGCCCTCTTCAGAATGGGAGGTGGGGAGAGGGAATTTCCCTGCAGCAAGTACGCACTCAGCAGACTGAAATTTTTGGCTGACTGCAATATACCATTCACACCCCTCCTCCCCCAGCTTGCCCCAACAGAGATTTGCTTATATTCCTCTTTATAAATATTAAAATTATAATTTCAAAATTCTAAGTCATTGTTGGTTGCAATTTTTCTATATTTAGAAACATATTCACAATGGTTCTACAACTTTAAAAATTCATATTTAGTCAGCTCTCCCCCAAGGCTTCATCTCTAAGGGCTGAAACATCCTCGTGATCTGGGTGTGTCTTCAGGGGCCACCAGCCTCACCATCGCCTCAACCCCCCAGCACTGGGCTCCCCTTCCCCACCTTCCAAAGGACTGACCTGCCCACCGTGCTGCATTGTGCTTAAATGTGCTTAAACACAGGATTATGTTTCCATTTTATTTCCAATACTGGAAACTGTATCATAATGCTTAGCAGAAGACATGACTACAACTACAGTAGTCTGCTTCTCTATCCAGCAGAGAATACTCACATCCTTCTTTTGTTTCTTAGTTTCAAGATAATTCAAGCAAGCAAAACCAAACATTTCTCCAATACATTATGACTCACAGCTCATTCTAAAAGCATGTGCACAACCATACGGTAATAATAACACTACAACAATGAGATTTATTGAGTGCTTACCAGTGCACCCTATGGCACCAAATCCCATGCTGGGAATTTCAAACCTACTATTCAAACCTACATCTGGCACCCTTGGCAATTAGCCTTTGAAAACAACAAGAATTTTAACTTTTTAAAATTCTTTTATACACAAACTTCTCATGTAAGCCTCTGAACATACCAGTGAGGAATGAGGGTGACATAGACCCTGAGATGCTGGGGTGAGAAATAATGTTCCCAGGCCCCCAAGCTAGGGACAGGGTCAGAGCTGGAACCCAGGCCTGCTCCAGGCTGCCTTGAAGTCTAAAATAACCAGCTCAAAATAGACAACAGGATAGACAAAAGGACCAAAAAAATCAATGGAATGTGAAAAATATCTGCTCTCTCCTAACAATGTAATACTTTTCAATTTAGCCACAGGCACAGCTACCCTTTGACATATTCTAAAATGTAGAAAATTCGATGACAGGAGTGGTAAACTAGAATCAGCCAGGGGCTTGTGACACTCACAAGGGCCTGGGATTGGATCCGATTTGCACTTACTGAGGGGCCTTCACAGGTGTTTCTGCGTGTGCACAATGATATTGGCTCACTTAGGGTAGGCAGGTATTCACCACATAATAGATGTGCATATACTGTGAGTTTGCTTGCATTACCAGCAACTCTATGGCTTGTAGAGGCTCTGGGGTTAAATAAAAATATTTCTACTCTGAAAGCTTGTTCCTTCAGACTGCTACTAACTCAAATAGAATTTACTGACAGGAAAAGTCACTTTTTCCTAAAAGTAGCACTTTCCCTGGGCAACTTGTATTAACTAGGGAGTGAGTTTACCAACATCCTCCTAGAAAAAAAAAATAGCCAAAAAGTGGCAACAGCCCAAATGTCCATTCAGACGAATGGATAAACAAAATGTGGGGTACCCATACAGTGGAATATCACTCAGCCTTAGAAAGGAAATTCTGTCACATGCTACAACATGAATGAACCTTGAGACATGATACCAAGTGACAATAAAGGACAAATACATGATTCCACTTACAGGAGGGACCTAGAATCATTAAATTTACAGAGACAGAGAACAGCATCTAGGTTACCAGGGGCTGGGGGTCAAGGGAAATGAGGAACTACTGTCTAATGGTAGAGCTTATGTTTGGGATGATGTAAAAGTTCTAGAAATAATCAGAATGGTGCACAACATGGTAAACCAAACTGTACTTTTTAAAATTTTTTTATTTTAGCAAGGATAAAGTAGGGAGAAGTAAAGTAGGGGAAAAAAAGAGAGAAACATTTCCTGCTCCCTATGTAGGAAATGGGAGTAAAGACAGCCCAAACTTACAAGTGGTCAGAGTAGTAAATTTTATGTTCTATATATATATATTCTACCACGTAATCTTGGGGTTTGTAGTTGTTTTTGTTTTTTTTTTTTTTTGCGTTATTTTTGCAACTAAGATTGAACCCAGGGACTACAACTTTTTAAAAATAGCAAAGATAGTTCCATCCTTGCTCTGGGACATTGTGCTCTGTTTCTGAGCGTTGCCTCCCCATTATCATCGTCTGGCTCTGATCTCAGCCTGGTCTAGCTCTTTTTTTCCATGTTACCTTCCCAGTGGGCCATCCTGAGCCCACAGCATCCAGCCTTTTGTGATGGCTACTCACCTGGCCGGAGGCTCATGGTGATCTCCTGTGGCGTCATCTGGATAACGGAGGAGCCCGCAGTGCTGGACCCCTTGCTACTGAGGGGCAGGCTCCTCAGGACATGGGTGTTGCTGGCTGGGCTCTCAATCTCACTACCACAGCCATTCTGGACAAGGTTTTCCCTCAAGTCACACCTGGACGTGACTGACCGTGGGCTGCCAAAGTACTAGGTGAGAAATAGAGGCAAAAATGGGTGGTGGTTAGGGTGTCTCTCCAGAACATGTCAGGCCAGTGCCTGAAACTCTCTGCAATCCATTTTCATTTTCTGAAAACAGAAAGAGTGAGAATCCCTATACAAATGCCTTACTGAGTATTCAGAGGATGAGCTGAGGTACTGCATATGAAGCATTTTGTAAACACATAATAAAAATGTTTGGTTTCATTGTTATTTTGATGGTCAAAATGTTCCTGTCTACCTGGTAAGCAAGAGAAAGAAACTGGCTGAGATGTAGCCCACTGGCCAAGCACTTGCCTAGCATGTGTATAAGGACCTGGGCTCCATCCCCAGCACTGAAAAAACAGAGAGAGAGAGGGAAAGAGAGAAAGAGAGAGAGAGACAGAGAAGGAGAGAGGGGGGTAAGCAAGAGAAAGAAACTGGGCTGAGATGTAGCCACTGGCCAAGCACTTGCCTAGCATGTGTATAAGACCTGGGCTCCATCCCCAGCACTGAAAAAACAGAGAGAGAGAGGGAAAGAGAGAAAGAGAGAGAGAGACAGAGAAGGAGAGAGGGGGAGGGGGAGAGGGAGGGGAGAGAGAGAGAGAGAGAGAGAGCAAGAGAGAAGGAGAGGGGGGAGGGGGGAGGGGGAAGAAGAGAGGGAGAGGGAGGGGAGAGAGACAGAGAAGGAGAGAGGGGGAGGGGGTAGGGATAGGGAGAGAGGGAGAGGGATGAGAGAGAGAGAGAAGGAGAAAGGGAGGGCGAGGGGGAGAGGGAGAGGAAGAGGGAGGGGAGAGAGAGAGAGAGAGAAGAGAGAGAGAAACTGAAATGCTTACATGGTCAAAGGTTGTACAGTTAAAACAAATTTTTTTTAAAGATGTTATACACATGGCTGAGAAGTCCTCAACCAGGCAGTCGTGAGTGGATTTAAGAGTGAATTTTTTAGTTGTTCATGATTCAACATGATAAAATTTTCCAGGCATTGGACACTGCCCAGCCATTCGAGAGAACAATGTAGCAGCACATACATCAAACCCTCTGACCCAGAAATCTACTGAAAGTTTATCACAAGAAAATAATGGAAAGGGAAAGGCCTGGAGAGAAAAAAAAGTAACCAAATAATGTATAAAGGTAAACCCATCAAAATAACAGATTTCTCAACAGAAACCTTAAAAGCAAGAAGGGCATGGAGTGAGGTGTTTTGGGCACTGAATGAAAATAATTTCAGCCCTAGCAAAACTATCATTCAAAATTGATGGAGCAATAAAAATCTTCCACAATAAACAGAAACTAAAACAATATATGACCACCAAGCCACCACTACAGAAGATTCTACAAGGAACTCTGCATACAAGATAAAAGCAGACAAAACCACAAGAGGACAGGGAATTATCAAACCACAGGAGAAGAAAGACAAGCAATCAGAGAATAGCACTGATTTCACTACACACAAATCCTTGAACAACAAAAACAACTGAATAGAAGAATTAACCACATACCTATCAATATTAACACTGAATGTCAATGGAAATAAAAAGGGGCAATACGTCAAAAGGAAATAACAATTATCAACCTATATGCACTCAATGTCAGTATACCCAATGTCATCAAACATATACTAAAGGACTTAAAAGCACTTATAGACTCCAACACAGTGGTAGTGGGAGACTTTAATACTCCTCTATCACCAATAGATAGGTCATCCAAACAAACAAAAAAAAAAAATCAACAAAGAAATCCTAGAACTAAATGACACCATAGATTAAATGGACCTAACTGATGTCTACAGAATATTTCCTTCAATAACAGCAAAATGTACATTCTTCCCAGCAGCCCATGGAACTTTCTCCAGAACAGAGCATATCTTAGGACACAAAGCAAACTTCAGCAAATATAAGAAAGTAGAAATCCCTCTTGCATTTTATCTGGTCACAGTGCAATAAAACTTATAACTCAACAACAAAAACAACAGCAGAAAAATATGCAAATAATTGAAGGATGAATAATACATTGCTCAATGATCAGTGGGTCATCAAAGACATAAGAGAGGAAATCAAAAGGTTCTTGGAAGTTAATGAAAATGAAAACACAACCTACTAGAACCTATAGAACAAAGCAAAGGCAGTCCTAAGATGAAAGTTTATAGCCAGGAATGCACATATAAAAGGACAGAAAGATCTCAAACGACCTAATGCTACATCTCAAACTCCTAGAAAAACAAGAACAAGCAAAACCCAAAACACACAGAAGGAGAGAAATAAAAAAAATAAGGACCGAAATTAATGAAATAGAGACCAAAAAAAACATACAAAGAATTGACAAAACAAAAAGCTGGTTCTTTGATAAAATAAACAAGATTGACAAGCCCCTGGCAAATCTGACTAAAATGGGGAAGGAAAAGACCCAAATTAGTAAAATCAGAAACTAAAAAGAGGAGATAACAACAAATACCAAGGAAATCCAGGGAATCATTGGAGACTACTTTGAGAACCTATATTCCAACAAATTGGAAAATCTTGAAGAAATGGACAAATTTCTAGATACTTACACCATCCAAAACTGAAGCAGCGATAAAGAGCCCCCAAAAAAGGAAAAGTCGTAGGACCCTAACAGAATTCTCTACTGAAATTCTACCAACCTTTAAAGAAGAACCAATACTAACACTCCTTAAACTTTTCCATGAAATAAAAGGAAGGAACACTGCCTAACTCATTCTATGAAGCCAATTATTTACAACTCATCCCAAAACTGGATAGAGACATATCCAAAAAGGAGAACTACAGGCCAATCTCCTTAATGAACAATTGATGCAAAAATCCTCAATAAATAATGGCAACTGATCCAGACAACATATCAGAAACATCATTCACCATGATCAAATTGGCTTCATCCCATGGATGCAGGGATGGTTCAACATATGCAAATCAATAAATGTAAATACAGCACAATAGAGGCAAAGACAAAAACCATTTGATCATCTCAATAGATGCAGAAAAAGCCTTCGATAAGATCCAACACAACTTCATGATAAAAGCTCTAAGAAAACTAGTAATAGAAGGAATGTACCTCAACAATATAATGGCTATATATGACAAACCTATGGCCAACATCATACTTAATGGGGAAAAACTGAAACCACTTTCCCTGAAGTCAAGAATGAGGCAAGGATGCTCACTTTCCCCACTCTTATTCAACATGGTCCTGGAATTTCTAGCCAGAACAATAAGGCAAGAAGAAGAAATAAAAGCAATACAAATAGATAAAGAAATATTCAAAGTATCCCTATTTGCAGACAACATGATCCTATACCTCAAAGATCCAAAAAACTCCACAACACCATAAACAGCTTCAGCAATGTAGAAAGGTACAAAAATCAACTTACAAAAATCAGTAGCCTTTCTATACACCAACAATGAACAAACTGAGAAAGAGTATAGAAAACAATTCCATTTACAATACCCTCAAAAAAAAAAAATCAAATACCTAGGAATACACTTAACAAATGATGTGAATGACCTCTACAAGGAGAACTACAAACCACTGAAGAAAGAGATCAAAGAAGACTACAGAAGACAGAAAGATCTCCCATGCTCACGGATGGGTAGAATCAACATAGTAAAAACGGCTATACTACCAAAAGCAATCTACATGTTCAAAGCAATTCCCATCAAAATCCCAGTGACATTCATTACAGAGATTAAAAACTCTATCCTAAAGTTCATTTGGAAACACAAAAGACCATGAATAGCCAAGGCAATACTCAGCAAAAAGAACAATGCTGGAGGTATCACAATACTCGACTTCAAACTATATTACAAAGCACTAGCAATAAAAACATCATGGTACTGGCACAAAAACAAATATGAAGATCAGTGGAACAGAACAGAGGACATGGATATGAAGAAAAGACAGCCTCTTCAACAAACATTGCTGGGAAAAATGCTTATCTGCCTTGCAGAAAACTGAAACTAGATCCATGCCAGTCGTTCTTTACTAGTATCAACTCAAAGTGGATTAAGGACCTTAATATCAGACCTGAAACTCTGCAGTTAGTACAGGAAAAAGCAGGGAATACTCTGGGAGCAATAGGTATAAGCAAGGACTTCCTCAATAGAACTCCAGCAGCCCAACAACTAAGAGAAAGCATGGACAAATGGGACTACCTAAACTTAAAAACTTTCTGCACAACAAAAGAAAGTCTCTAAATTGAAGAGACCACCCACAGAGTGGGAGAGAAAATTTGCTGGCTATATATCAAAGGACTGAAAACCAGAATAGACAGGGAACTAAAAAACTAAACTCAACAAAAATTAATGAACCAATAAAGATGTAGGCAACAGAACTAAACAGAACTTTTTCACCGGAAGAAGTCCAAATGGCCAAAAAACACATAAAAAAATGCTCACCATCCCTGGCCAAAAAGGAATTGCAAATCAAAACCACACTAAGATTCCACCTCACTCCTGTTAGAATAGCTATCATCAGAAACACCAACAACAACAAACGTTGGCGAGATACGGGGGAAAAAGGAACCTTCATATACTGCTGGTGGGAATGCAAGTTAGTACAACCACATTGGAAAACAGTATAGAGGCTTCTTAAAAATCTAAACATAGATCTGCCATATGATCCAGCAATCCCACTCCTAAGGATATACCCAAAGGAATGTGTGTTAGGTTACAACAAAGGCACCTGCACACCCATGTTTGTTGCAGCTCCATTCACAATAGCCAAGTTATGGAAACAGCCAAGATGCCCCACTACTGACAAATGGATTAAGAAAATGTGGTATTTATTTTTTTTAATTCATATGTGCATACAATGTTTGGGTCATTTCTCCCCCGTTCCCCTACTCCCTCACTTACCCTCTCACCCACTCCCTCTCCCCCCAACCCCCTCAATACCCGGCAAAAACTATTTTGCCCTTATCTCTAATTTTGTTGTAGAGAGAGTAAAAGCAATAATAGGAAGGAACAAGGGTTTTTGCTAGTTGAGATAAGGATAGATATACA